AGCCAATTACTCAACAAACGGGCATCCCAAATTTCACACGTTCAAAGTGGGATTCCTGATGCTCACCGCCTTTCCCCCAGACCTGCTCCTCTCGCAGTCCTCCCGGGGCAATAAATGGCAAACCGTGCTCCCAGGTGCTCAGTCCCAAACCTCGTGTCACCCTTGACTCCTCCTTTCTCCCCTACCTCGTGTCCAGTGCATCACGAATCCTTTGGCTCTATCATCCAAACATACCCAGAACCTAACCTCCTCTCAGCACCTCCACTGCCGCCACCCTGCTCTTCGTCTCTTACCCAGGTGACTCAACTACCCTCCTACCAGGCTCCCTGCTTCTGCCCCTGATGCCCACTCCCTCTTCTCCATTATGAGCCCCATCCCATGCCATCCCATGCCTTCCTATCCCATCCCACGCCTTCCTATCCCATCTCATGCCTTCCTATCCCATCCCATGCCATCCCATGCCTTCCTATCCCATCCCATGCCATCCCACGCCATCCCATACCTTCTTATCCCATCCCATGCCATATCATCCCATGCCATCCCATGCCTTCCTATCACATCCCATGCCATATCATCCCATGCCATCCCATGCCTTCCTATCCCATCCCATGCCATCCCACGCCTTCCTATCCCATCCCATGCCATATCATCCCATGCCATCTCAAGCCTTCCTATCCTATCCCATGCCATCCCACGCCTTCCTATCCCGTCCCATGCCATCCCACGCCTTCCTATCCCATCCCATGCCATCTCAAGCCTTCCTATCCTATCCCATGCCATCCCATGCCTTCCTATCCCGTCCCATGCCATCCCATGCCTTCCTATCCCACCCCATGCCATCCTATGCCTTCCTATCCCATCCCATGCCATCTAACACCTTTCTATCCCATCCCATGCCATATCATCCCATGCCTTGTTATCCCACCCCATGCCATCCCATGCCTTCCTATCCCATCCCATGCCATATCATCCCATGCCATCCCATGCCTTCCTATCCCATCCCATGCCATAGCATCCCACGCCTTCTTATCCCACCCCATGCCTTCCTATCCCATCCCATGCCATCCCACGCCTTCCTATCCCATCCCATGCCATATCATCCCATGCCATCCCATGCCTTCCTATGCCATCCCATGCCATAGCATCCCATGCCATCCCATGCCTTCTTATCCCATCCCATGCCTTTCTATCCTATCCCATGCCATGCCACCCTATTGCATTCATGCCATCCAACCCAATGCCATCCAATCCTATCCCCTGCCATGCCATCCCATGCCATCCCTCTCCTGCTCAAAGTCCTCCCAGGGCTCCCATGTCACAAATAGAAAAAGGCAAAGTCCTTACTGTGGTCTGCAAGACCCGCACAAACTGGACCCCATCCCACTCCTCACACCTCTCCCACCTACAATGCTCCCTCTTGCCTTAATTTTCTCTCTCTTATTACCGCGTCGGCGGAACATCCAGCGTGTTTATCTTGTCTGCTCTTTGCCTTCCCGGCTGGAATGTCGGCTCTGGGAGGACAGGGATTCTGTCTGTCTTGTTCCTTGTTGTGTCTCTAGCACCTAGAACAGTGCTCAGCCCTGTTCAGTACCTAATTGTTGAATAGATGAATGAGTGTGTCCAGTGCTGGCAGGCCCCCACTCTTGTAGCAGGAGCTGCCTTGGCTCCCAGCAGTGTCCCAAGGCACACCAAGGGCATCTGCTCCTGGGCTGGTTGCAGCCTCAGGCCCTCAGTTTCCTCATCTGTAAACTGGGGCTGTGGTGAGGCACAGACAAGCTCCTGTGTGGTTTTACGACTCCTCAGGGTCCCAGGGAGGAGGGGCCGGGTTTCTGGAGAGGGCCATCCTCTGAGCAGCCTAGCTACCTCCAGCCCTGGAGGCGACAGAGACGGAGCTGGCCATGGCTGAATGAGCAGGGATTGGCTCCTAAGGAGACAGGGTTCATGAAGAGGACCCCTGAGTCCTGAACATACTTGAGCCTGCCCCACAAACACCTGCATGGGCTGGGTGGATGCCCGAGTCAGAGGGAGAGAGTGGAGGAGAGCACAGCCTGGTCAGCAGGCCCAGGGTGCCTCCCTCTCTGCTCGACCTGGGCATGTCCCTTCCTTGGGTGTGGAGCAGGAGAGGAGCAGCCCGAGGTCCTTGAGTCAGGACAAGAGACCCTGTACACACAGCCCCAGGTGGGGCTGGGAGAATCAGGGGCATTCGTCTCTCCGTCTGTTTGTTCATCCATCCATAGCAGAACGGGCAGCTCAGGGAATCCTGGTCGAATGAGCTCCCAGCTCAGTCCCCAACCTTTCCCATCAAGGGCTCTGAATCAGGCCCCAATTTTTCTCAGCACCAGAGCAGTGTGAAGAAGAGCACTGGACTGGGAGTGAGTCCAAACCTGGTTCCAAACCCCAAGCCCACCACTTGCAGCAGTGTCACTTAACTCCAACCTCACTTCTACATCTGTAAAATGGGTATAAAAATTCCCATCTTTCAAAGCGGGCATAAGAGTCAAATGAGAGAAAGGGGAACACGTTTTCATAATGTCGTACGAGGTGTTTTTCTGAATAGATATTGGATGTGGCCATGTCTTGCACAGCCCCTGCTCCGTGGCTCATGTTCCTCTAGGCTGGCCTGCTCCCCCCATGTCATGCTTGCTGCGGCCAGCAGGTGCTGTCTAAACATGTTTTAGGTGGCGTCTGTTCCAGCCCAAAGTTGCCTTCCTGAAGGCCCCGCCCCTCCGCCTGGGACAGGGCCTGGGGACAAGGGGAAAGTTACCCGATCTTCTGGAGCCTCTACCTGGAGGCTTTGGAGATAACAAGTTCCGTAGCTGGTAACACGCAAGAAAGATGATGGGGTGGGATCTAAAGTTCTCAAGACCTTTAAAGCGAACTCATGACACTTTGCAGACATTTCTGACCAGGCTCCCCAGGGCAGGAGGGTGGGGTAAGATGGTGGGCGCCCAGAACAGTGAATGGGGAGGGGGACCTTTGGGGCATCAACTGGGGAGGGCAGTGCAGACCCTGACTCAGCCCACACCTGGCTCCTCCCTCCTCTCCTGTCCCCTGCCGGTCTGAGCTGAGTCTTCCCTTGCCCGTCTCCTGCCCAGTCCAGCCTCCTCAGGATGTAACCCTTCAGAGCTCCCTATGCAGGGGCCACTTAGACCACCACTGAGTGTCCTGGGCTGGGGCCAGGTCCTCTGGGTTCTGTTCCTGAGTCTGCCACCCTTGGCCAACTCACCCCTCACCCCAGCTCAGCCTTCAAGGTCTAGAGGCCAAGAGGCAGTGGACCTGGAACAGCAAGCATAGACTGAAACGTGGGGGAGCTGTCAGGGCAGAGCTGGGCTGCACGGGAAATTCTTACAGGGTCTGGCCCGGAGAAGGAGCGTGATGGTGGAGCTAACCTCCTCTACTTGCACCACCATCACCACCAGGGCCCTCTTTTGAGGAGAGAGGAGCCAGCAGCCTCTGCCCGACCTGAAGGGGATGGGATACGGGGAGGAGGCGAAGTAGGAAGACAGCTGAAGGATACTGGGCTTAGCTGAGGCAGCCCAGGAAGAGCCGGGTCTCTCCCTGCACCTGTCTGGCACCAGGTGTAGCTGGCTCCAGGCTTGGTCAGCCTCTTGACCCCCTGGTCCATCCGTGATGGGTGGGCTTCCTCTTCCTGGGGACACAGCTCCGGGAGAGGGTGTGGGCCAGGGCAAAGCTCTAACCAGTACCCTGGCCAAATCTCTTGCCCCAGCCCCTTCTCCCAGCAGACAGTCAAGCAGGGGTACTCTAGGCCAAGGTCTCAGGGCCAGAACAGGACCATCTCCTGGAAGATAGCATTCTACGGCCAAATGGCTGTGTTCCGGGGCAACTCTCGGTGTGAGTACAGGGGATGGCCAAGAGCCAGACCCCAGGCATGGCCCAGAAACTCCCCGTTTGGGGGCAGAGGAAGAGAAGGTGGAGACCCTGGGGTCTGCCCTGCTGAGCCCCCAACTTTCTCCATCTTCAGCGGTCTGAGGATGGGTGGGCAATGGATGTACAAGCAGTTCCCACTGGCTGGGGAGGAGAAGACCACTCATCCCTCCCCTGTCATTCATCCCTCCAGCTCGTGTCTCCTGGGACACAGGGCATGGAACAGACCCCTCCCAGGAGGGTCTCTGAGGCATCTGGTGTGGACATAGGCACAGGTCTGTGTTAGCCAGTTCCTGAGGAGTCAGTGTTCATGCCCTGTGACAGAAGGAGGAAAATCCCACTACTGTCCTCACTGTCCCCTGAGTCCTCTGCCTACCCAGAAGTCGCCATATGGGGACAGGACACAGGGACTTATTCTCAGGTGAGGAAGCTGAGGCCAGAGAGCCAGAGGCTGCGAGTGCCTGTTGGGATCCCAGTCCAGGGAGCAGCTGGCTTTTCTGCAGGCTTGGTCAGCCCACCCCAGCACTGGCACGTCCGCTCACTGGCTGCTCAGCCCCCCACCCCCAGGGTCCTGCTGCCAAACTCTATAGTAACTATACACCCTGAACCTATTTTTCCTCTGGGCTGGCTCTACCTGTCCAGTCTACCCACATTCCCTCCTGCTTTTGAAGACTAAATCACCCACATGCATGGCACCAGGACGCTGCACACAGTAGGGTCTCAGTTTGAGCCACAGGCCAGAACTTGGGGTTTCAATGGGGGTCAGCCTGTGCAGCCCCGGCACTTGCAAGGCTCCTGCACTCAAGGCAGGACCATAGTCATCTCCATTTCACAGATGAGAAAACTGAGGCTAAGTGTCTTGCTGAAGCCCCACAATGAGGTAAAGACAGGAGGATTCCAGCGGTGAAGGGGACCCTCACCTCCCTCAGGCACAAAAATTCGGGGTGCCTGGGAAGGTGGGAACAAGAAGCCCTGTGTGAAGGGCGACACCGTAGGTGCCCCGGGCACCCCCTCACCCACGGTCCCACTGTCGCAGACCCTTAGGAGCGCCCGGAGAGAGGGGTGCCCCTCGTTCCTGCCGCCCCAGGCCCCCGCTCGCCTCAGGCCCCGCTCACCGATGATGATGGTGCAGGCGCTCACCAGCCCGATCTCCTTCTTGAGCGCCACCCGCTCCGAGGCGCCGGGGCCGGGGCCAGGGCCGGAGGAGGGCGAAGGCGCAGGGCCGGGGTTCCCGCGCCTGCTCGGCTGCTGCGTATGGCCGGCCATGTCACTGTCCCGCCACGTCCCCGCTCCCTGCGCTGACCCGTCTGTCCGACCGGCCGCCGCTCCGTCGGTGCGTCCGTCTGTCGGTGCGCGCGCCGCCCTGGCAGCCCGGACAGCGCCCACCGGCGGGCGCATGCGCTGGCGCGGGGCCCGGGCCCTGGGCCGGGGTGGCAGGGGCCAGGGAGGGGCGGAAGGAGGGCCAGCCTGCAGCCCCCTCCCCCCTCCTGCCTTAAAGGGGACTCCCCCCGCGGCCCTGCCCGCCCGATCCGGGTCTGGGAAGGAAGGAGAGGACTTGAGGCAGATCTAGTTAGAACTTCCTAGTTGAGCGAAGGAAGGGGCCCTCCCGCTGCCTGAGTCACATCCACTCGTGGGGTGGGGGTGGGGGAGCAGAGCTCAAAGGCAGGACTGTCCCTGCCCTCAAGGAGACTGAGGAGCCGGCAAAAATAATAGCTGTCTGTGCTTTGGGACCCACTGTGTGCCAGCGCGTCCACAGCCCTTAGATCCTGCAACAGCCCCCGAGTGCGCGTGTGCGGGGAGAGGGGTGCAGGTTGGGTCCCTTCTACAGGTGGAAGCTGCGGCCCAGAGACGGGTAAGGAAGATCACCGAGCAAGTGGCAGGGCCGAGACACAAACCCTTCCTGCTGTCTCCTTGGCTCCCAAGGCGGTGACGGTGGGATGTGAGCTATATATAGTTCAAGCAGGCATGGGCGCTGCGTCCAGGAGCTCCTCTGAGGGGTCAGGTTTCCCTAAGCACCTACCATCCAAAGTCTGGGGAGACAAGGTCGTGGTGAAGAGGGGCCCCAAGGACCCATGGCCTTGCGGGAGTCCTGGAAGGAGTTCTTTGCACCCGGCGGGGCTCCGGACTGCGTCCGGCAGAGGCCTGGCCACAGGTCAAAGTCGAGGCTCAGTGGACTAGAACTCGGGTCTTTGGCAAAGACCCCGCGCAGTCCAGCCTGGCTCCAGGAGAGGAGGCCTCCTCAACCTCCCGGGAGGTACCGAGAAGGGGGCTATGACCCCTGAGGTCTCAGGAGGAGGTCAGGCGTGCAGGGCCCGAGCGAGGCTGCCTCCTCCCGGAAGCCGTCCGGACAGTGTTACCCCGGCCCGCCGAGCAGACACAAGGGGGGCCGCGTCGGGGGCCACCGGGGCGGCGGGCGGGGCGAGCCTGGCACGGTGCGGCCGGCGGCAGAACAGTCTTTGTCCTTTCCTGGCGGCCGCCGCGCCGCGCAGTCCCCTGCATGCGGATGAGGCCACGCCGGGCGCCCCGTCTTTGTCCCCACCCGCAGCCTCGGGGCGCGCAGGGGCCCCCGCTGGGTCCGACGGCGCGGGGCGGACTGGGGGCGGGCCGGGGGTGGGGTCCGGCTCCGGGCTGCGGGCGGAGCATCGAGGTGCCAGCGTGGCGGTGCAGGGGGCTTGGCGGACGAGGAGCGGCGGGGGCGGGATGACCCTGGGTGGACGTGCGGCGGGGACGCGGAGGGGGAGGCCCCGGCGAAGGCGAAGCTTCCTCCCTCGCGCTCCGTCGGAGTCCCGAGTGCGGCATTCTTGGCGGCCTCCGCCTCGGGCCCCAGAGACCGCTCGGCGGCTGGCTCCCTTAAAGGCGCCTCGCGCAGGCGGTGGGGCCGGGGGAGGCAGCCTGCGCTCCGGAGACCCCTGATTGTCGTGAGTGGTTGGGGGCTGGGCTCTCGACCTGCTGGTTTGACTCCCTCCTCCCTCCGTTTGCCTTCGCCACGCTGGAGTCTGCTGGGAGAGGGTCTAGCCACGGCTAGTGAGCTCAGGGTTTGGCGGGATCCTCCGAGGCCAGGAGCCTCTCTGGCACCTGCGGTGTAGCGTGTGTGTCTCGGGAGAAATGGTGACTCTGGGCACAGCACAGGATGGAGTATTGCTCTCCAGGCCCACAGCTCAGGAGGTCATTTCAGTGGAACTGAACTAGAACCTGCAAACCCAAAATGGGAGCAAAAGGTTGGTAAGATTGGTTTACCATCCCAGAGTCAGTACCATTCCCCACATTAACAGAGAAAAACAAGGAAAACCATAGGCTCTTCCCAGTAGCTTCAGAAAACTGTCATCCATGATTGAAACAAACAAAATTAGCAAATTAGAAACAGAATAGAATTTCCCCAGTCTGATACAGGTGCCTGCCCAAACCCCAAACCCTCCAAGAAACAAAAAACAACAAGCAAAACCCTCTAGCCAGCGTCATGCCCGGTGGTGAAGTGTTGAATGCTTTTCCACTGAGGCTGGAAATGAGAAGGGATGTTAGCTCTGGTGAGTTCTATTCAACTCTGTGCTGGAGGTCCTCGCCAGTGCAATAAGGCAAGAAAAAGAAGTGAAAAGGCACGCCCTTTAATGACCAAAACCCAAAACACTGACAACACCAAATGCTGTCGAGGATTGGAGCAAGAGGAACTGTCATTCATCGCTGGAGGGAATGCAAAATGGTACTGCCACTGTGGAAGACAGTTTGGCAGTTTCTTACAAAACTACAATACTCTTACCATCCAATCCAGCAATCATGCTCCTTGGTATTTACCCAAAGGATCTGAAAACTTATATCCACACAAAAACCTGTAGGTGACTGTTTATAGCATCTTTATTCATAATTGCCAAAACTTGCATGCAACCAGGATGTCCTTCAGTAGGTGATGGATAAATAAACTGTGGTCCATCCAGACAGTGCAATCACATTCCGTGCTAAAAGACATGAGCTGTGAGGCCATGAAAAGACATGGAGAAAACTTAAATGCATGTTACTAAGTGAAAGAAGCCACTCGGACAAGAAGTAAAAAGGTATGAAGATAGGAAAGGAAGACATAAAATTCCCATTTACATATGACACGATTGGGTGGAAAACCCAGGAAAAAAACTATAAGTAAATTTAATGTTAATTAGCTTATTTAGGAAAGCCACTGGCTACAACTTCAATATACAAAAACTTAATGTATTTCTGTATACTAGCAACGATTGGAAAATGAAATTTATGATAGCACAAAAATAAAACATCTAAAAAAATCAATCTAGTGAATTAATTTCTACACAGAAAACTATGAAACATTCCTGAGAGAAATTGCAAAAGATGTAAATTAATTGAGGGATATGCTCTGTCCATGGATCCGAATTTAAGATGTTGGTTTTCTCCAAATTGATCTATAGGATTGATCTGTAGGTCCAATACTCTTATGATCAAAATCTCAAAGGGTTTTGCTGTGGTTGCCTTGGATGTTTTGGGCGTGTTTGTGAAACTTGACAAGCTGATTCTAAAATACATACTTAGAATAACAGAGTTGGAGGAGTTACGTTAGGTTAGGAAGATAGTGTGGTATTGATGCAAAAATCAACAAGTCAATCAGTGGGACAAAACAGAAAATGCAGAAACAGACCCATCCCCCTGCGGCCTCGTGATTTGTCACTACAGAGTCAACATTGCAAAGCTGTGGAGAAAGGACAGACTTTTCAATAAATGGTGCTGGATCAATTAAGTATCCATATTGGGAAGAAGAAAAGACTCTTCATCTCTACCTTCCGCCGTACCCTAAAACCGATTCCACAGGTGTGCGTGTGAAATAAGGTAAATGTGCGTGGGAAAGGGCAAACAGCAATGCTGCCAGAAGAGGATTTAGGGGAGAGAATAGATTCATTTCCTTAAATAGGAAACGAAAAGTACTAAAAAAAAGTACTAAAAAAAAGTATTAAAAAGTAACAAATTGGACTCCATTAAAATGAGAAACTTCTGTTAATCAAAAGGCATGATTAAGAGAGGGAAAAGTAAGCCACACGGGAGAGAAGTTATTTCAATACATATATCTGATAACGGATTTGTATCTAAAAAACATGAAAACTACTACAAATCAATAGGGAAAAGATTTTAATAGGTGCTTCACAAAAGAGGATGTTCAGATGACTGATAAACTCCTGAACAGGTGTTCAACCCCATTAGTCATCAGGGAAATGCGAATTAAAACCAGAATGAGATACCATTGCACATTCACGAGAACACTTAAAATTAGACACCCGTGTTGGCAAGAACGTGGAGCAACCCGGGACTGTCATTCCCTGCTGGAGGGAGTGCACATTGGTGTCATTTGGCAGTATCTCTAAATCCCTATGGCCTAGCAACCTCATTCTGCATCAGACACCTGTTGGGTACCACCTCAGATCCTCTAGCCTCAGCTTGCTGTGGAGGCCTTTGCACCTCCCATCACCCCCAGGGCTTGTCTGCTAGCCCTGAGGTATGAGATGCTGAGGGCCCAACGTGGCACTCACGAACTTGTAGCCAAAAATGCAGGGGAGTTAACACACTTCCGCCTATTCTTTGCCAATGGCAGATGGGAGCCAGTGGATAAATTCTTCCTCGTTCCTCCACCCAGACGGACTGTCACGAATCGCAATCGTTATAAAGCCTCTCGCAGGAGGAGCCCATGGGCCCAGCAGTCAGATGCTTTTGGTGCCAAGTGATGGCCAGCTCAGAAGCTCAGGCTCATATTGGCTCTCTTGCCTTCCCTGCCCCATTCCCTTTGCCCTCACTTTTTATCCCCTGGGATTGCACACCCCAATTAAGAAGTCCTACTTAAGGGGCCGGCCCGGTGGCATAGCGGTTAAGTGCGCACATTCCGCTTCTCAGCGGCCCAGGGTTAGCTGGTTCAGATCCTGGGTGCAGACATGGCATCGCTTGGCACGCCATGCTGTGGTAGGCATTCCACATATAAAGTAGAGGAAGGTGGGCATGGATGTTAACTCTGGGCCAGGCTTCCTCAGCAAAAAGAGGAGGACTGGCATTAGTTAGCTCAGGGCTAATCTTCCTCGGGAAAAAAAAAAAAAAAGAAGTCCTACTTAAGCTTTAGCCTCAGACTCTGTCTGGGGAGCCCAGGCTAAGATGCACTCCCAGGTAAATACCCAACAGAAGTAAATATATAAATGCACTGGAAGACGTCTATAATAGTATTCCTAGCAGTGCTCTTCACAGTAGCCCCACACCGGAAACCTGTATAAACATGATCAGAAGAATGGATAAATGCATCAGAGTACATTCAAATTCTGGAGTCCTTTCCTGCAAAGGAAATGAACGAATTACTACCATGCCAGGATGGGGATAAATCTCCTAGACATGATGTCAAGCAAAAGAAGCTGGACATGATGTTG